AACTTATTACGGAGTTTGAATAAAACATTGCCTAGAACGACCTTATCAAGATGTTCTCAAGTCTAGTCAAACTGCAAATACATTCAAAGATGACACGATTAGATCAAAAGTTCAAACGGTTAACATATTCCTGAATCTGTATGAACACGTGTATCTGTTATGGTAATTTCGCACAATGACCTCTAAAAGTAAACACGAAGGAACACAGAATAAATAACGCCCAGTTTCCTAAACGCTGATCATCTTAGAAGTCAAGTAATCAACTGTCAAATGGCTTTCGAATGTTATTTGAATTGGCTACTCAATTCTCAGGATTGTTTTGTAAACAATCCTTTTGGCTACTCAATTACATTTGAAAACGCCATTTGACGGCTGATTAGTTAACTTCTACGTTGATCACTGTTTCAGAAACCGGGTGTAAGTGTTCTATATTTGCACCTGGCGGCTTAATACGTTTTATTGTTTATCGCTTCACTAATTCCAGATTCATGTTCCAATAGTATTGATAACCAAGCAATGGGCAGTTCCCTAATTAAAACATTACAATGAATATACTTCCTTCTTTTCTCTCTGTTTCTATCCCGTTTTAGCTCTCTATCTCTCTCGTGTGGACAGTGCGAAGGAATCTAGAAAATTGTTCCGACTGTCGGTATTTGGTCAGGTTCAATTTGTGTTTGTAAAACACCTTTACAGTGAAGGATCTATTTTATAGAAGGGGTAATGTAATGTTTCAAGAAAAAGGAAAATCCAAAAGTGCACGCCTCATACGACTCTTGTACTTTTCTGTTAATAAAAATATATAAAAAAAACTGTTATTGACTTATTTGTATTATTTAGACAACAGTAGTGTAAATAGTGAACTTTATTTTATAAAAACATTTTATTAAAAAACTACGGATACTATGCTATTGATATTAAATAGTAACTAGTTTAAGTTATTCTGAAAATAATAATAAACAAAACCCGGTCTCGATACGTCCAATTTTTCGGGAGTTATTGTGACCAACTCGTCAAAAAATCCGGAACTACACATAAAATGTTTTTCGAAGGCTTTTTTTAAGCAGTAAAATAAAAATGTTTTTTTTTTTTGGAATATTAGATAGATTAGTTATCCCGAAAGTTTTGTTCATTTATCTACAAAAATTAACAATTTATAGATTATTTAAACTGTTTTATTGAAATACATCTACTTATATTATCGTATAAGTGCCAATTGGTCGTGGCAAAACTTTAAATGGTCATCAATAAACACGGTAGTTTCTTCACGTGACTGATATATGTAGTATATTATAGAAAAAGAAAGAAATCCATGAACCCATTGGGATGAGTGTGCGTGACCTCAGATAATATAATTGATAAATTTACGCTGCGCACATGTGAATTCCTGAATAAAGTACGAAATAAACACGACATTAAATTCGAAAATTCGCGTGTAAATCGAGGAGGAATTGAGAAATCGACAGAATGAATGCTAACGAGATTTGAAAAACCTTATGGCACTCGAATAACAAATGGTAACCTATATACCGTAAACATTTATTTCGGATCAAGAGAATGACGTCTCGAATAAAATCCAACGTCAGATACTACGGTATGCATGCAAATAAGACGGGTTATCTCACAAATGACCGCTATGAGTAAGAGCCGAGTTTAGAATCATCATACGTGAATCACGTATGACTTTGAACGCCGTCGCTGGAGCGTTACACCTCTAGCCCTGTCAGTGTCAGGTCAACGTCAACACGAAGATGAAAAAACCGGCCAAGTGCGAGTCGGAGTCGCGCACGAGGAGTACCATTATCTATAAAAACGGCAAAAAAATGATGTCTGTTGTATGGGAGCCCCACTTAAATATTTTTCTGCTGTTTTTTTAGTATTTTTTGTTGTAGCGACAACAGAAATATATCATCCGTGAAAATTTCAACTGTCTAACTATCACGGTTCATGAGATACGGCCTGGTGAGAGACGGACAGACAGACAGCGGAGTCTTAGTAATAGGGTCCCGTTTTACTTTTGGTGTGGAACCCTAAAAATGGACCAAGTTTCGGTATTCGTGGCTGTGAAGTTGACGGATAGACGGCGAACGGAATGGGACATCCAATTGGAACGTTTCTGCGCATATTACGAAGCGAAAATATGGGGAACTTCATTATAATTTGTTGGCACCGCCATGTCATTATGGTAGATATGTTTTTTATGGAGCCGTGATAGTTCAATGTCTGAGCGGTCTATTTTAATTCAATATACTCGACCAACCTGAATTCGATCCCCGGTGCCGGCACCAATGAATTGTTTATTTTAAGTGCTGACTTATCACGTGTTCAGCGGTGAAGGAAAACATCGTGAGGAAACCTGCATATTTTCGAAATAATAACAAAAAAAGTATTTCGATGATACGTGACGTCCGCCAATCCGCAGTGGGGCCGCGTTGTGGAGGCCTTTGCCCAGCGGTGGGACATGTATAGGCTGTTTACATTAGGTGGGACATGTATAGGACTTTACTTTACTTATGTTTTTTATAGGAGAAGTTGGCAAGCGAGCAGGTACTCCCGATGTTATTGATTACCGCCGCCCATGGACATCTTCTACACCGGAGTGGTTGTCAACCTTTATAAAAGTTGCCCCTGGTTATCTCACTCACTAGACGAAACGCGAAAGTATAATCTTCTATCAATAATCCTAATTCTTCTTCATACCTTAAGGATAACTTCCGATAGTTTCACTCTGGTCCTGACAAAGTTTCTTGTTTCAACGACCTACTTAAGATTCGCATTCCGCATACATAATACAGGATACTTTAACTCTTTTTTACTGTTCAAGCTACACTACTCTGTAACGCCCTCCCATATAAGATCAAAACAGCTCCAAATAAGTATATGTTTAAGAAAGTAATTCGAGATTATTTGTTAAACCACTAATTTTATTTCGTTTGTTCCATTTGTTTTTATTATCCGTTTATGTATATATTTCTGTATGTACATACTTCTACATATATGTATGTATCCATATATTTACATATTTATGTACTTATTTATACCTACATATATCTTATATTTTAGAGCACATTAACTTTATTTTTTATAGTCTTCATTTAGCACCTACCATTTACTTTTTACCATGACAAGGGTTGATTGATAGAGAATACCATTTGGTATTTTGCCCGCCCATTGTAGCCCTTAGCTTAAGGTAGCAATGAAGCTTAAATAAATAAATACTTTCGGTGGTCGTCTGTGCCTGCCCATTCGTGTAATAGCAGAGGTTGTTGGATGACCTGCAGTTACAGATATAAGGTTATGAGTAAGAATAACACTTTATTAATAAAGATTATTGAAACACAATACTTTTGGGGTTCCGTACCCAAAGGATAAAATGGGACCCTATTACTAAGACTCCGCTGTCTGTCTGTCATTCTGTCCGTCTGTCACCAGGCTGTATCTTCATGAGAAAGTTAGACCGTGATAGTTAGGTAGTTGAAATTTTCGCAGATTCTGTTGCCGCTATAATAACAAAAACTAAAAAACAGAATAAAAAAATATTTAAATGGGGCATGATTCTTTTGTCATTTTTATAAATAATGGTTACAGCCCGGTTTTATTTTATTATGTTAAAAATTATATCGACGTTTAATTATATTTCCTTGTTTTTAAAACGTGTCATATAGCCAAATTGCGTATCCACAATCACGCAATGATGGTGAGTTTAAAAAAAGTTTTCAAAATAAACTTTGTCCTTATTAGATAATGAATTTAAAAATACAAATTTATATCATATCCATAACTACAAACATATTTTGCGTATTCCTTTTTTAAAATGATGTTTAAAAAAGTTTTTACTTCAAAAAATAGTGCTCTCGTAATTGCTAAGTAAATAGTTTTATAAGTCACACATTGACACACAAAACATTGAAAGATCAGTCATGTATAGAATAAAATAAAGAAAAATCGATAACATGTAAACGGTATTACCATGCAAGCTTTCGGCGCCCTTAGATGACATACCATAGTTAATCGCACGCATGAGCACATGCGCGGCCCTATCCACAGCGGAAGGCCCAAACCCGTGGGTTCTGGCTAGCCCACCGGTTCTGCGTCAGATGAAGCTTTAATAGTCTCGGGACTGAAAGCAAAAACATCAGTTAATACAAGATACAAGAAGATTTCGGCTCTAAAGAAGTTAGGCGCTTATTATAAAACGTCATGAACCTATACAATTGACTGGGATCAGCGTTACACAAATGTGAGTGGTAAACACTCAGGTACCACTACTATGCTAGTAATATAGTTCAATGTTGATGAACCTTTATCGTAGCTGCAGCTGAAAAAATACTGTTCAGTCTGACCTTCGATACATACTCCATACTTGGTTAGCTTTTACTCTGAACCATTTGCCTCATTGACTTTACTTAATTCTTATTAATTCATTCATATGCGAGCTTATATTTGTTTCGGCAAATGTCATAAATCAAAACTTACCGGCAATATTGGCATTCGTAGCCCCTGACTAGCTTCAGTCGGTTTCGACGTCTCAAGCGTCATCAAGCGTCGGAAAGATAAATTGAATGTAGGGCTCACAGGAATGACACACAGACACTCGAAAACTCGCATTTCGTCCGCATTGTAACCGATTTGATATTAAACATACCATACGTGTGTATATTTTCGCGGTATATTAAATCAGGTGGTCGGTTGGCGCGAAACGCAGTTACACCGCGGCGCCCGTAAGTTGTAGACGCTCCCGCGCTCGCATCGAACGTCGCGCGCGCTATTCGAAATTCAAAAGTGACAGTTCGGTTTTGCCTTATTTTTCTTATTCCCACCATAAATTCCTGCAGGCTGCCAGTGTTCGTTTTTTTTTAAATGCGAACAATGGGCCGGCGCACGTAGAATTTGTTGAGAAGTCGCCATCCGTTGTGAAAAACAAAACATTTGAACTGAACTCACAAAATTTACGTTTGTTTCGTTTGAATTAGCATCCGCTGACAATCTCGACAAAAGCTGTCATGGCAAACACGTAAGTAAAGCGCCGTTTTGCATAATTTTAACTTGTTTCCGTTCCAGTCATTTACAAGCGAACCTAACACCGTTCACCGCGAACTTTGTTTGTTGGTGATAATTTAAATATGATTGTATTTTATTATTATTCGTCATATATTAGCAATGGTCATGAAATTTTAGTTTTAACCATAAATAAAATTTCCTTGGAAGTCTTACTTATGACATTTGATTTGTCAATATCTAAATAAATGTATGTTAATGACACCGCATGATGAGGGCCAGACCTAGCTTTTTAATTGCATAACTTCGTTACTGAAAAAATAAAACTAAAATATGGAATGCATCGGTTTACTATATAAAAGTAACTCATTTATACTAGAATCTCCATTAAAAGTTTCACAATCCTCTTAGTACAAGTTAGACTCACTGCTGTAAAACAATTTGTGTATACGCAAATAAAATTAAAGCATCATTACAACCTTGAACTTTAGGTACAGGTAGAAGAAAGCTTTTGTCTTGAACGAGTATAATCTTTAAACCTGATAAAGTGATGTCTACGTCTAAAAATAAAACCGCAAGCAATCTCTCCCTTCGTCGCTAACTGTTTTTGTGATTCAAAAATCTTGCTAGACGCTCCTTACACTGGCTCAGTTCATTCCGGCAAACAACTTTTGTCAAGCATTTACGCTGCAATACTTAATTTCGGGGATAATCTATTTTTGTATTAAAAAGATGAGAAAAGAAACTCTCTATGCATTAAGATGAAGTTTATGTAATACGTATCCTAAAGTTTTAGAAAGTAATCAGAGTAGGAATGAATAAAAGAAATGGTGTAAATAAAAATAACAAAAAGTAAATAAGGAATTTCAGAAACATTTTAATTAAAATACCCCTGTAAGTTGAAGCTTAATTATTGTAGAAGTCATCAAACTAAAAGAAATTTATTCATTATAATTTTGTATTTAAAGAATCATATTATATATTACTACGAAACAGTATTTATATGGACAATATAGAGTGCCTCAATAAAATTAAATCAATTCGTATTTAACTTCAACTCTACCAAGCAACAGTCTCAATACAGAGAAGTTTCCGTTAACAATAATTGAAACCTGTATCTTATATTATCTATTTCTATAGGAAGTTCCTTCATTTCAATAGCTTCGCGAATCATCTTCGGTAGAATGTTTAGCGAGGACTTAACGGTTTCATACCCAAAGAATAGTACTCCTTGAGAAAGTACCACAATAATAAAAAATGCGCTAAGGAATTTGTACGATCTTTCCGCAAGCGTGAAATTAATCCTTGCTATGGACCGTGAGTTATTTAATCTGTGGTGATATCCATTCACGTGTAAGTGCCGTTACACACGCAGCGATAGGATATCGATTTCGATAGGTTATCGATATCGATTGCCCACCGATAAATTAATAACAAAACATTCTCCACGACTCATAAACAAAGCACCTTAGAATAGAATAGTAAAAAATAGAAATCATTTGTCAGAATACGTTACAAAATTTGTTGTTAACAATAAATTTAAAATATTCAACAGTGTACTCTACCTCAACTCTGTGTGGAAATATTTAAGAAACATTGTAATATTTGAAGAATAGTTAGCAATATAATTGAAATTCAAATCACGTCTGTACATAATTATATTGCTACTGCAGATTATAAATTTGAGACTAGCTGCGCCCGAGACTTCGTCCCCGTGGAATTAAAAAAAAATATAAAATAAAAGTAGCCTAAGTTTCTCCTTATTACACCAGCTATTTGCGAGTGAAAATCCTGTCAAAATCGGTCCAGCCGCTTCAGAGATTGGCCGGAACAAACAGACAGACAAAAATTGAAAAAAAATATATTTTGATATATGTACCGTGTATACATATGTACCATATACATTTTGTAAAATCTGTTATTTTAATGTTACAAATAGACAATCCAATTTCATTTATTAGTATAGATTCATTCAAATTGGTTACATGTCGATATTTTTAACAGCAATTCAAGCCAGTTGTAGATTTGATACCTTGATAAATGTAACCACTTTACGGATATTGTCTTTTACATGAAAGATGTTTGCGATTTCAATTCGTATCGCAGCAGATATTATTTCATTTAATTGCGTTTCAGAAACCAAACTTTCCGGACACTTTACAGAAGCCACGGAGCAAACCCGTTTTTAATCCCTAATAAATAATCCTTAATGGCTTAGTGTCTTAGCTCGCTTTTAATTCAATATACTCAAGCAACACGAGTTCAGATCCCAGTGCCAGCACCAATGAAATTGTTAATTTTATGAACCGACTTATCGCGTGCTCAGAGGTTAAGGAAGCATCGTGAGGCAACGTGCATATTTTCGAAAGAATAACAAAAAAAAATATTCCGAAGTTGGGTACTATGCCCTAAAATCTTTGTCAAGAAACCTTTGCCCAGCGTTGGGACATGTGCAAACTTTACCTTACTTTTTTATGTGAGTGAGCCTTAAAAAAGTGGCTACCTCACTCACCAGACGAAACGCAGAAGTACTCATAATAACACTTGCACTTCACACTGGTGTTCTGTGAAGTGGTGGTACCTACTTACGTGGAAGGACCTGGTCATTCGTGCAACAGCGAAGACTGTTACGTGGCCCTAAAACAGTTTCTATACGTGCAACAGCGAAGGACATGACCGGAGAAATAAACATATATATATACAGCGTGTCCCACTAAAAAATGAACATTAACTTTTTAAAATTGTATTACATTACATTTACATTATTTAAACATCAATATTTACCGAGTTATTAAATTTTCCAAAACAAACAATTTTAGAACACCCTTATGTATAAAACTGTAAGGTAAAGTACATTTGTAAAGGTAACAAAGCATATGAATGAGTTGAATGAGTTTAAAAGAGACAAAACTTACTGTTAGAAGGAGAGGCTTGTAATGCGACGCTGTTGCAACAAATGAAAAAGTCTCTGAATGCATGAATCAGTCAGTTGTAGTTGTATAGGATGTTACAAATTTTGTTTCATTTTTACTTTATTAGTTTGTTTGATAAATATTTTTTTTTAATTATGGATTTTTTTAACGTTTATATTTTTTTATGATTATTGGCAAGTAGCGTTAGACGTGTGTTCATTTATTGTCGCGGTTGTAACGACACGCTGTATATATTGTGGTCCACCACAAACATATATATATGTTTGTGGTGGACCACCTTTATCGCTAAGGGGTATAAAAATTAGTTATAAACCTATTCTCATACCTACTGAAATACACATCAGAGTGTAAACACTAAAACTGTGACACAAGAATTTTATATATTAGATATCCAGTAAAACGTTCGTGTGTACCAAGACTAGGAACCGGCGGTATCGCGTATTGTTACCCGAGCGACCGCACACATCTTAAATATTCGCTCATGCTTTTTTTACGTGGCCAATATCTGTGGAGACCCGACCACCCGGTTGTAGGACCACGTTAGTTTTACACTAATAATACGATGGTCAACTCGGCAGGGGTATCTGGTAGAGATCGCTAGATTAGTTCATGGACAGGATCTTTCAGGCTCGTTTGTTTTGTATGGGGCTTGATTTATACACCAACTTATCTATTTTCAACCGCCTTCAAAAAGAGGAGGTTCTCAATATATTATATATACTTTATATTCTTTTTTATGTTTGTTACCTCAGAACTTTCGACGGTGTGTGTACCGATTTCGATGATTCTGTTGGTGCTTCCCATATGGTCCCATATTTTAAAATGAATGCAGAGCGAGATATTTGAAGTCGGTTTTGTTTTTCGTTAATAAAAAAAGGGACTTATTAAAAAATTGCCCTTAGGCACTGTAGGATAACGGTATCCAATGTCGTGAGGACGTTTTACAAACGTCAATTTCACGTGAACAAACACCCAGATCCGAAACAATTAACTGTGGGTCATACAGACAGTTATCCCGCGTGGGATATGAACCCACGACCCCCACCCCGAAGTTAATTACTTGACTGACGACATCATTCGTTCTTGTATCTAAAAAGAAATTAAGCAATTTATTATATAAAATGCCCTAACGGAAAACGTCATTGGCTTACGTATATTTTATGTATGTTTATGTGTTTGCTTTGTAATAATGAAACTAATTACGAAAAGAATTTTTAATTGAATTTATTGCAATGTATGCCTGGCATTACCTTGTTTGTCATAAAACAATAGTACAATAAATTCAAGAAATCCTTGTCCTTGCATTAATCAATATTATATATCATTAGAGGTATAATTAGAAAAATAACTAAATAACAATTAATATGATTGAGTAAATTGAATTATTTATATGAATTGCTTGACTGATTGATTCATTCTCTACCGGTTAAACTGCATTCATTTAGGATAACTCCGAGAGTTTTAATGTTTTACCGACTTATATGAGCTACTATGACATTATGATATCGATGAATATGAGGCTGAATGAGATTATCACTTAATCATTTCAAAACTAGGTAAAGATCTATCATGATTTACAATTCATAATTAACATTTCACTGTTTTAGTGAGGTTTTATTTTACTTATTATCGGACCTCAAATTCAAATTCATTTTTTTTATTCAATATAGAAGTATTACACTTATTTATTGATTATTAAAAAACACTACGACCTCTTTACTGTACTCCAATAGTACTGACAGGAAATTTTAGATATCATATTTTTATTTCTAAAACTTGTTCCCTTTTCGAATTTCGAAAAGCTAATCCATGTTAGCTGCCAGTCTCGCCGACCAAACATCGGTCGCATAAACCGTACCCTGTCCGTTATAGTAATATAATATTCAATATAATAAAATATTCACTCTTACAACTAGCAGTAAAGTATATCGTTGTATCATAAAACTAATATTATAAGATTTATTAATGTTTAATGCCATACATGGGTTTGTGCGGGGTGTGCTTTGTTGAGGTGTATTTAAGACTGACTCTTTCATACATCGACAAAGCGTCTGGTTATTGCAGCCAACCAAACGGCACTCCT